TACTGATGCCATCACATGTGGAAATTAGTCTGAAGCCTTTCCTACTTCCATAGACAAATGAAGGTCAATTCTACAAAGATACTGATGATACCAAGCAATAGTTATGAAAACTGAAACAAAGTTGGGTATTTGACTAATGTCAGAACTGTTTTTGATGCAGTATTCAAACAGACCCCCGTGTAAATCAGGGAAACATGGTAACTTTTATGAAGCAGTACCAATTAATTGCATAAAAACTAAATCCTGACTATAAGGGACTCGAGGTACTAATATTAATAGCATAATTGTCTATCGTCATTTTCTCTCATATTTTTATCATTTTTGACACCCACACCCTCAAACAGAAGTGTTATTTTGTTCATTTCAAGTTTGTTTTTGGTTTTCTTTTGTTTTTAACACATTGCTTCTTCTTTTTATGTAAGTTTCTTGTGGGAGGGGACTTCAAAAATTCATAGGTATATTCTATTATGTTTTAATCCCATTTTCCTATAAACTTCTTGAAGCTCCTTCATGTGACACATCTCGTTTTACTCTCAGCACTGAAATTCTATTTTTTTGTGTGTGTGAGTCAGTGAGTGAGTGAGTGAGAGAGGGGGTGAGTGAGGGAGGGATTTAGTGAGAGTGAGTGAGGGAGGGAGAGAGTGAGTAAATGAATGAATAAGAGTGACTGAGGGAGTGAGGGAGTGAATTAGTGAGAGAGTGAGTGAGTGAGTGAGTGAGTGTGAGTAAGAGAGTGAGTTCTGAAATTCTATTTTATATATGTAGGTGTTACTTTCTTCAACCCTCGAAAGCCTGACAGTAATCCTATTACTATGAAGAATGAACGCAAAATATTTATCTTTCTGGAAGCGTAATGCTAATATTCCTATAGAGTTATGCAATACTAAAATCTTATTCAGCATAATATTTCTATAAATTGTGACATATTTAGTGTCAGAGAGCTACATTTGTTGAAATGTCTCTCATATAATCTTTCTTAAAGTTAATGAAGTTACAGCTATGACTCAAAATGTAATATTTATAAAAAACAAAATCAATATTGGACAGGCTCAGTGTTTAGTGATTTATGCTTTGGCTAGGAGCCTCCAGTAAACTGATTTACTAAACAAAATGTTATGCAAAACTTCAGTCTTTTTTGTTTGGTCTCTGCATTTTAGATATACTGTAGTGAAATGTCCAAGACCATTTAAAGTTTCTTCTAAAATTATATAATTATTGAACTAGAAATAATTAACTTTATATGAATTTATATGTTAATTCACCTTAACATTTTTCCAGGACACTCAAACTAATGGTTCATCTCGGAAGACCAAACAATACTGTCTTAATAGGCAATACCACTAAGCTAGCGTCATTACAGAACAATGATTAGGGACACTTCAATAGTTATAAAAAACTTGGTGGATTTCACCCACCAAGCCACAAGTCCAAATGGCACACTCTTCATTTATTTTTTATTCGCTGTTACCATTTAGACAGAAATCCCGGGGGACGTCTAGATTAGCTGGCATGGTTTTGGTATTTGTTATTGATGGAGCTTATGTAAAGCATTTGCTAGCTGTTAATTATGTCTATTTAATGGACTTTGCATTGTGATTTTAAAATATTTTATTGAGAATCCATTGGCGTAGAGGGACTACATATCATATATCAATATATTTTCTCAATCTCATATTTTGATTTTTTTAAAAGGGCAAATTAAGATAATTGAAATTGTTTAGGTCAAAAAAAGTGACTACCAATGGATGGACATATGAATTGTGATAAGAGTTGTATGAGCCCCCAACAAAATGATTTATTAAAAAACAAAGTGACTACACGGGCAGGGACAACCTTATATTTATATTTACCTAGTTTTATCTACATGAAAATTAACATCAAAGCTTAGAAACCTATCCTGCTCTCCAGGCCAGTATCTGAAGAATAAAAACACTGTGCTGCCTCTTCGTCGCCATCCCTGAGCAAATTAGCACACATTTGTACCCAGATTAGTGGCTCCTTTCTTTATACTACATCACCTTAAAATCCAGGCTGTGGCAAGAACCTCTTTATGCTGCTCTGGAAAGAATAATAAATTCTGGCTTTCCACACAGAAAAAAATTTTTAATAAGATTTCACCATGTAGCAGGGGTTTCAAAAAGTTGTGTAAAAATTTCATTATCTTTTACTATAATTTTCCAGGATTATTTTGAAGCCACATTTAGAGAGAGAAAGACGGGATTTTCTATTCCCATAAGGAGTTTACAATCTCTGAACATCAAAGAAGCAGTTCTACCCTGCCCTATAGGATTGCTATGAGTCGGCATCAACTCCAAGGTGGTGAATTTGTTCATTTGTTTGTATTTAAAATGAGAGAAAGATGAGGCTTTCTACGCTCCTAACTACAACCTTGGAAACCCACAGGGGCAGTTCTGCTCTGTCTATAGTGTCAGTATGAGTCAGAATTGACTAGATGACAGTGAATTGGGGGTTTGGGAGTTTCCTATTTAATAAAGCTCTGTGGTGTCAATAGGCCCATCTAATGCATCACACGTTTTCAAGAATATTGTATCTCAAGAAAAACAGAAATTAGGTGAGCAATTATTTGAGTCCACATAATTCAACGCCACTGCATGACAACAAGCTCTCTTTACCTTGAATATAAATACGTAGATCTTGCATTGGAGACAATCACCAAAGGTGAAATGACCTATAATATTCACAGTTTCTAAGCAACCAAATAAAGTCATACAAAATCAATAGCTCTATTAAGCAGATGCAACAGCTTGTTAATTGTACCATTCTAAGATGTCAAAATGAAAACCTTTTAAAATTGAAACTTGGTGAAGAAAATGAAATGCTGGATGGTAAACTCCTTCCACTTAATGGATGAAATGCTTTGCCTTTCCAAAGTCTGTATACTTCGTCAATAAAATATGGTAAGAATTTTCTAGAATCAGAGGCTGGCACTTGATCTAACTTCCCTAACTCCATGGACAGAGATACCTCCAGTTGATTTCTCCAATTCTTACCAATTGTCACAAGAAATTTAAATTTCTAAAGTTAAAATTTGGCAAAATTCCTTCCTCAGCAACAGTAAAATCCACTTAAATTTCAAAACGTGAATATTTTAAAGGAAGCTTGGCCAAATAAATTACTCCATCAAATCACTGTCAGCCCCTACCCCCCACCCCTTCTGAACGGTGCCCAAAAGAAAGTTATTTAACTATGGTTTGGTAAAACTCCAAGACAGCAGCGTAGATAGGGAACTCATTTCATAAGTAAACAAGTACAGAGCCATTGTTCTTAAGAGAAAAAGAACACATCTCCAAGAGAAAAATATCCTAAGTAAAACAAAATGTTGTTATATTTTAGAGCCCCTCACTTGAGTTCATTGAAAACAGACAATACCCTTGTAACGGCCTGCAAGCCACCTTTCTGTGGATGACAAGTGCTGTCTTAAGCAGCAGGATCCAGTCATTAGGAATGATTTGAAACAATACAACGGGAATGACTCCTTCACATAGGAATAAAGTCCGTGTCTTGACATCAGCAGGATCACACTGAACGAAAACCCTTTGGAAAAATCCTTGTGGATTGTGCAGGACGATCAATGGCTGTGAATCACCATCTTTCAATCAAATAAGTGTCCCAAGAAAATACATCTCAATAAGTGAAAGTGAAACACCCTAAGAACTCATATAAAATAGGCATTTTATATTACCACACACCCCCCCCACTCCAGAAGATAGGTATTACCACCCCAGTTTGGCTGGATTTCTTTAAGATATTGTATTCTGATTGCTCACCTCTACAATAGGCCATGAAAGAGATGTTAGAACATTGGAACCACTTTTCCTGTCATTTTCCTAAACCTTCAGTAGGAAACTTTCACGGAAATCATACTCACCCTTTGACACATTACTTGCCATCATCATAAAAGTTGACTTCAGAATTAGTTTCTATGTTAGATATGTTTCTTACTTGTCACTCCTAAATTGCCAATCCTTAAAGCAACATCATTTTTATCTATCTTAGCGTTCTTTGTTGCACTGTCAACATTATAAATAGGGCCTTATATTCCTTCTTTCCATCCTCCCTTCCTCCCTTCAATCCTTCTTTTCTTCCTTCTCTCCTGCTAATCTGGCCATTGTCCACAGGCTCAGATTTTCCGGTCTAGATGAGGTGAGAGGAGTGAGTGCAGTGCCCTTTCTAGGCACCGAAGGAGGCTCGGCTCTCTACTGGCTCAACTAGGTACCCCATGTTAAAGAAACCACGGATACAGTGTCATAGTCAAGTGCCAATAGAAAGATGATTGTCCCCCAGTTCTTCTTTCTGGTCAGCTCTCTGTAAATAAAGGTGCTTGGATAGAACCTCATGTACCTCTCCATCACCAGCTGAGTCGGGTAAAAAGAACCAAGAAGTGCTATAAGGTTTTCCCAAGCTGGCATAAAGCTGGAGAAAGAAAAAGTAAATAAAAAAGCAGGCTTGGGCATCATATCACATTACACATAAGCATTTGAGCAGAACCATTATCTTAAAATGTCACAAAACCACAGATAACATTAATAGAAATATTTCCTTCCAGTTCTGGTAGCCAAGGAATTCTTTGCATTTATTTCCTCTTTGTGATTTCCCAATATGAATTCAACAATTAAGATAGGGACCTTATTTTTACGTCTTAAATATTCCTTCTGTGTATGTATTACATAATTCAAAATAGAATAAAAAAGTGTCAGTCTCATAAGCAGTCTGGTAAATTCTGCCACAATAATTGCTCTGTGATCATGTGTGTAAAGCAGGTGAAGGCGTCAAAGGAAATGAAAGATCCCAGTGTCAAATCAATTCATATTAATTCGGCGATCTCTGTGGATAACCACATATTGAAGAGTGGCACTCAAGAAAGGATTGGTCATTTGAAAGCAGGGTTGTATCATCGATCACTCCATTCCTCACTCGCGTCAAATAAACTTTCACACTCCCATGCATGCCCAACCACAAATATGAAAAAGAGAACTTACACAATTTCATCATTCTGGAACTCGAGTTCTCCACACGTGTCCTCAAAGTCCTCTCCTCCACCTCTGGCAGTCCCTTCAATGGTTTTGTAAGGAACGATAACATTTCCTCGTGCTCCGGACGTTCTCAAAACTTTCACCTCCATGATGCCAATGCTCTCACTCACGTGTGTCATGGGCTCCTCAAACGTGAAGATGCCAGCATGGTCGTCATCAAAAATCGTCACCGTGGCAGTAGAGGGCGAGCCGAGACAAGCCAGTGCGGAAATGTGATTGGCTTCCAGTATGCCATCTTCTGAAGCTTCCAAAGACACTTTGACATTGCTGAGGTGCACGAGGAAATTCTCATCCTCCTCAAAGATGTCATCATCGATGATGCCAACTCTGATTTCCTTCTGAGTCTCCCCAGGCTTGAAGACGACAGTGCCTTCAGTGAACTCATAATCGGATCCAGCATTGGCTGTGCCATCCTCGGTTCTGAAGTCAACGAAGACCGTGTTGGTCAAGTCACCACCTCTGCGCATTATGGTCAGGGCAACAGTGCCACAGTTCTCCAGACACTGATAGGTCCCTTGCTCAAAGAAGACCTTACTCACCGGCTCATTTTCTGCCACTTCAGGGTTGAACTCTTGCATGCTGACGGCTTTCCTTGCCTGGTCAGCTGCGTGCCGCTTCAAAATGTTGCCAGCTCCGGTCATCAAACGAGTAGCCTGAATACGGTAAAATGCTCGGCTCTTTTGCTGCTGACTTAGGACTTGGTAGTTAGCTAATTCTATCAGCTGCTCGATTTCTTTCTCGGGATGCTTCTGCTTGAGCTCCTTCAGAATCCTAGCCATTTCTCGCCTCGCCTCTTCATCATCTTGGTCCCTCTCACCAACCTCCAGCACCAAGGCACCATCCAAGAAGTTTTCCACATGAGAATTGACCACTTTCCCATCCATCTCAATTTCAGTCTTGGAAGACGGCCTGTCTCCTTCGTGTTCAATAATCATCCCCCTCTGTTTGCCAGCCCGATACCTCTTGTAGACGTATTTGTAAAACAGAAGCCTCCGATCTGCTACCCAGGCGAACACCACACAAATGGGAAAGAAGAAGAAGGTGAGCAAACCTTCCCAGACTTCCACGACGCCAGGGGAGATGACAGACAAAATAAGGTAAAGCCAGGTATAGGCAAATATGCTCCAGGCTGCGGTCACAAAGAACACACGCAGATGCTTAATCTTCCTGGTCTCTCCATCAGGGACCACATAAACGCAAAGGGCGATGATGATGAACATATTGAAGGCAGCACTTCCCACAATGGTACTAGGACCCAGGTCTCCTGCATTGAAATTGTGGCCACACACTTCAATGACGGAGAGGAGAATCTCGGGAGCCGAAGAGCCCAGGGCCATCAAGGTGAGATTAGACACGGTCTCATTCCAGATCCGGACCGTCGTCTTGGTGGTCTCTCCATTGGGTTTCTTGATGGTGATTTCTTTTTCTTGAGACGTAATGACCTCTATGGAGGACATGAACCGATCGGCAATGATAGATACTCCGAGAAACATGTAGACCATGGCGACAAAATACACCGTCGCTCTCGCAATTTTGTCCCCGAAAGAAGGGTCTTGTGGCTCCCAAATGGGTAAAATCACCCCTTTCTTGCAGATATATGAGCCGGTACATTCACCAGTGTTGTTTGCTTCTCCTTCCATTTCACTCTCAGCATGTATTTGGTCCAGATGGGAAAATAAGAGAGCCACGATGGCTAGGAGATGAAATCCCATGGAAAAGGTGGGTGAGAGACTGAATGGCAACATTTTGTAAAATGATAGACTTCCAACTGTCCCAACCTACTGAGAGAAATAAGAGAGGGGAAGGGTGAGAGAGAAAAAAATCATATCATTAGAACAAAGTCCAAAGCATAATGAATTTTTTTCTCATGTACCAATAGTCTGGTATTTTTTTTTTATCACCACAACATCTATGGCAAAGAATCATTACTCTTTGAAGATGCCGACTATTACACAATGCTGTGTAAATTCCTTGTAAGCTCTGCCTGTGGATTTTCTACAAGCAGTCCCCCTCACTGAGTCTAATACACAATTGACTTACTGTATTAGAAAATAAAAGATCAATTTTAGCCATCCCTTGTTGGCTACACATTTGTCCATGTTATTAGGCAATAAGTAGGGGGGGGGGGAGTTGAAGCACTATAAATAACATTCTCCTTTCTGCTAAAGTAGATTTTCTCTAAATTTCTGGTTAATACATCACCACTCAACAACTATGTTGTTGCCAAAAATCATTTTATTAAGATTGATGTATGGAAATTAAGACTCTTTGAAAAACTGTACAATCAAAAATCTGGTGCTCATCTTTAGTTCTATAATGTACCTTACACGAGATTTCCTGGAATCGTGTCCTATTGCTCCTACTTATTTGAAATACATAGAATTCATTCAAGCTTGTCCTGCAATCAAAGTTCAATGGCATTCATTCTTGAAATAAAAACCTGCTATGATGCAATATTTCTGCATTTAAGTACAGTTTTCAAAAACATGTTTGAAAGAACACATTCCCTACTAATTTTTAGCAAGCCAAGTTCTCCTGGTGCCTTAGCAGCTGGGCATCATATCACACAAGCATAGCTATTCATATCTGCATACAGATACTGCTTTAAAATCCGAGAGCTGTCCTCAAAAGGAAAGAGACAACCCCGGACTGATCTAGCTGTGGGACAGGTGTATGAGGCTGCGAGTCTAAGGAATCGCTATGACCAGCCACAGCTTCCATATCCCTGCGGCAATGTCATATTTGTCAGGGTGGTTTTAAAACGTGTATTCGTTCTCACGAGGGTTCCTGTGAGCAAGAAATGCAGAAACAATCATTCCATCAAAATAAGTCAATGCAGCACACTGACAATAACCACGAAGCACGCGGTTGAAGAAGTGCAGTTGGGAATTCGGGACATAGCAACAGTCATTTGGCAGCAAAAAGCTGGATGGGCGAAGCAGCAGATGCAACCTCTTTTTACCCACCAAATCCTCCAAAATTCAACCGTGACCAATCCTCTACCCCCTCTGTTCCCAGGACCTGGGTAGACACTAAGTAGAAGGAGGCATGTTCCAAGTCAGAGTAATTCTGCTCCGCAAATCCTGCAGGGAAACCAGTTGTCCAAGGAGAGAAAGGGGAAATCCAAAGCAGTCCTGAGCCTTAACAGAGTCCTGTATCTGGCAAAGAGTCCGGCAGCTGAGGCTGGAGGAAAGCTGCCCTCATACTCCTCCAGCTCCCTAGCATATGGCCTACACTGAAAACAACCCCAGGACACAGGAGAGCCTCCTAGCCCTGAGCAGACTGGCAACCCCTCAGAGTTTGGTTTATCACTGTTGAAAGATAAGCTTCTCTGGCAATTTTCCCATACTAAGGAAGGCAATGAAATCTTGAGCGTTGTTGTGGTAGAATTGCAATCTAAGTAAAAGGCTGAAAGCATAGCAGAAGCAAGTTTTTAAAAATATACAAAAGGCCATGGGTCATTCCCTAGATTGGGTGGGTTGAGTGAGCTCCATGAAAAACAAGATAGCAATCAATCATTCTGCAAGTCTAATAAGTGTAACATATTCAACCATTGACTCCACAAATATTTACTGAATGTGTATGCATACTTTAAAATGGCCTCACCAGCGAGACTCTCTTACTGGTGCAGGGACTTCATCAGGGAATAAAAGGAAGTTCCTGTCCTCAGTGAGTTTATATTCTAATGGGGAAGAAACAATCAAAACAATACAAATATCAGATGCAAAAATGTGCTCTAGTGAAGGGGATAAAAAGCAACTCAACCAGGACAGGAAGTGTGTGTGTGTGTGTGTGTGTGTGTACATGACATATGTAATTTCATTTTGTATCATTAATAAAGGCCTCTCTGATAAGTTATTTGATCAGCATCTTAAAGGAAACAGAAGATCAGACTTGCTAAATCAATGTAGGAAGATAATTCCCAGCCAGTACAAAGGTTCTGATGGGAACTGAGTGTTGGCAGAGTCTGGGAACCACAGAAAAGAGAATGCAGTAAAAGAGCAATGAGTGAGAGACAGCAAGGTTCCGGAGCTGAGATGCAGTGGGACTCGATCGTGGTGGGGAGAGGGGATTGTTTAGATCACTGTCACACGGGTTTTGTCACAAAGAAGATCATGTGGGGAATTGAACATAAGTTAGACACAATTGACTCTCCTTTTAAAAGTCTCCCTCTGCTTGTTCAATGGAGAGTATAATGTAGGGGCAGGGGTCAAAACAAGGAGACCCGATTTTGCCTATTGGTAAAATAGATCTGATTTATACAAGATCCCACTACCTGCAAATGTATAAAATGAATGATGCAGTAGAGATCTAACATTGACGAAGGAGAAGCAAATGTGTAGGGACCTCTGGAAAGAAAGCGACTTACCGTGTCCTGGGGCATGTAAGGGTCAAAAAGTTAAATGTTTGCTCAGAGAGAGTAGTACTGAAGAGAGACGGAGATTTATATCAGATCCCACTTATGGAAGATATATAAAATGAATTGTTCAGTGGAGATCTAAAGTTTACACAGGAGGCCACAGTGGTGGCATATTGGACTGCTAACCACAAAGTCAGTAGTTCGAAACCACCCATTACTCCAAGGGAGAAAGATGAGGCTTTCTACTCCCATCAACAGTGATGGGCTCTGAAACACCCAAGTGCAGTTCGACCCTCTCCTCTGGGGTTGATAGGAGCTAGAATCAACTCAGTGGCGGTGAGTTTGGTTTTGAAATAGAAATTCAAAACTATGCGTGTCTCAAAGACTGATCTAATGGACCACTCTGTTCAAATGGTATCATTCCATTCCTCACATCCTTGCCAAATGGAACTTCCTAAAGTGCAGAGCTGAGTCTTTTATTCCACTGAAACCGTCCACTGGGTGCCAATGGTACCCCAGAACAAAATCCGAAGTCCTCAAAAGATGATGCAAGACCTCTCAGGACCTGCTCTCCCGCTCCGAGCTCCAGAACATCAAGACTTTCTGTTCCCCACAAAAGAGAACACTTTATCATTTCCAGACCTTTGAAAGAGGTTGTTTTCTCTGCTTCACACAACTTTCCTTTGTCTGTGTTAGAAGCTATTTCAAAGGGTCACAATAGCAAATCACAGTCTAGCACTTGGGAGAATCAGGAAGGACTCTAGGATCTAACTCTTAAATCCAGTCACTAACCACAGTGTCATTACACCCAAAACGTACAACAACAGTACTGCTTGCTGTCACTGTGTGTCGCACATTCCTAATGCTGCCACTCCCATTACAGACCGTGTGGCCAGGGACTCCTGGAACTGGACAATGCTCAACAGCCCTAGGCATAGCCCTCAGAAGCCGTTGTCATGGGTTCATTTTGGCAGATAAGATCATTGAGGTCAAGTCGATGAATGAAACATGTGGAAAGTCGTGCAGGTAGGCAATTATTTTTACTGAACTATTAAACTATTGAACGGTTCACAGCCTAGTCCATCTTCAAGGATGGTATCATTAACTTCTATTTTATATTAGCCCCAAACGTGCAAGCATGGAGTACTACTAAAGTACTCTTGAAGAACTACTGGACTTTGGCTTGGGAAAGCCCATTGAAAGCTTCTAAGCTTCCAGACAGGATTAGGTGGCTCTTGTGAGCAATAGTCCTATGGAAGGATTCGAACAGTCTAGCTTTTATCTTAGAGATTAGAGACTCAAACCATTAAGTATCGATAACTGCAGTACAGCACGTGGGCTGGCATGCTGTAGAGACTGCTGCCTTCTATTATATGATCCATTAACAACTGTCTGGCAACCTCTTCGTGCACACACTGCTAGTGCAACCTCCTAGGTCAGCAAGAAAAAGCTTTGCCCTTCACCCCTGTGTATGAGATGCACATGAGGGGACGTGTGTTAGTCTGGGTACTTTAGAGAAACAAATCCACCAAAACTCATATATAAAAGAGATTTTTATATAACGGTTAAGTGCACATCAAGAAAACATCCCAACCCAGTGTTGCCCAAGCTCACCAATCCACAAAGTCCTCCTCCATCTCACAAAACACACCCAATGATGCCGACTGCAGGAGGAAAGCCAAATCAGTGGACATGTAAGCATCTCAGCACTGACAGAGGTCTCCACAAAGCTGCTCCAGCACCCAAGGCTGCATCAGGGTAGGTCCATGTGGCTTCTCCTCGGAGATGTCTTGCAGGAAGTGAGCCTTGCCAGCTGAAGCAGGGAACTGTCTAAGGCAGCTGCACTCTGGTCCGACCATCACAAAGCAAGAGATCTGAGAACTAAAAGGGCGAAGCTCACCAAGCCATTTATCCCTCCGCCCTTCAATTAACCCCATGTGTGTTTATCGACCAGGTTGGCACAATAAACTAACTACCTCAGGATGGATCAGCAAAAACTCATCAATACCAGAGAAAATGAAGGCGCGGCAAACTTTCACCATGTTCATAAGGTGGAAGCATTATGCCCGGTGAGATTAGTGAGCATAAAACACTGATAAAACTTATCAGCAATGAAGTGACTGGAGAGAAATTAAATTTGGATTGATAAAACTATAACCTAGTGAATGGTATTTCAGCCAGTGGGCTTCCGTTTATTTATTTTTTTTCAATCATGACAGAACGCAAACATTTGCAGAAATGTGAATTGTATGGTATCTAAATGTTACTTCTTTCTTCATCTCATCATCCCCATCCTCTTAGGGAAGGTCTTTCCCCAGTCATTGGATTCAACATTTCTACTTAATCATCCCCACCCTCTCCTTTAAAAGGCCAGGTAGTACAATGGGTAAGCCCCCTGATGCTAAGTGAAAGGTTGGTGGT